GTTTTAACTATGTCCTTCACAAGCTATTGTCTCCTTTTTTATTTATTTAGTTTGTTTTTTCCTTTATAAGCAAAGCTATTTAAAGCATTTTCAATCCTTTCATTTTCCTTATCAAAGCGCCTCTTTTGACTCTCCTAGACAAAGACTCTGTTGCAGAGCTGTTACTGCGATATAAACTTCAATTATCTCTATTGACATATTTGAGCCCATTAACAAACTGAAAGAATAGGTAAAATAAATTGTGAAAACATACTTTTCACTGGAGTGAATGGTGCATTAATATAGTTCTCCCAACACCCTAATCTTGTTCAGAAATTGGATTTAGACTGGTGTTTGAATTAGAGGTGCCCACTAATTTTCAAGTAAACAGAAGCAAAGAAAATGTTCAATTCCTTTTAATTTTTTTCAAAGAAAATGATAGATGTTACTTGTACATGAAAGCACTCAATACTTATTTAGACTATATTTTCATGTTTTAAAAATTTTCCTGTCTACTATAATAGCTCATTTCTTTAACACTTATAGAAAGTTACTGACTACCTCTATGAAGAAAAGTTGAGTTGCCTATGCACATTTTTTCCACAAATTTATATGATATATACGAAAAGTAGTCATCTAGTGGATGTAAGTGATTAAGCTGCATGCCAGACATATTAGGTGACTAACATTATTTTAACAGTGTCACTTGACCCCAATGTATTAGGAACCATTAAGTTTTGTAAAATGTTGTGTAATGAGAATAAAAAAAAATTTCCTATACATAGCATATTTCTATTAATTCTTAATATGAAGTTCTATTTTTGTGTTTTTTTCTTCTCTTTTTAATAGCTGAAGGAATAGTAATGCTAAACTGTCCTGTTTAAGAGGATGTTAGTGGAAGAGGTAAAAAATAGTGGTCCAGAGTGAGATAATATTATCAGACTGTTGGAAGAATGTTTCCTATGTGGAGCTGCAAGTTTCACTGGAAATTAAGTGCATATACATTTTGTAGCTCACAAGTTATGTGTTTGTTGAGAAGAACTGGGGAAAATATCCCTGGCATACATTTGTAAAAATGTGTTATATTTTACACAATGGAGTTTACCACTACATTAGCATAATAAGGCTGGCAAGTGTGAGTAAAGGCAAAGTTTTAACATTGCACACCAGTCCAAAAGATAAGTAAAGCAATTTTTCTGCCTTCAACATCATAAATCATTAACTAGCAAACATATTCTAAGTAAAAGAACAGCTTATTAAAAAAAATAAATGCTGGGAAGATTTGAAAAGCCATATGAAATGGCTATAAATTTTCAGAAAATGTCTGCTGGGAAAAAAAAATAGTTTATTCTTTACAGTAAGTGGTTTGAAACTATTTTATGTAGAAGAAAGTCTACTATCCAAAGTATTACATACTTTTGCAATGATTAACAGATGTTTTGAAACAAAATTGTCATATAATAAAATTGAAGCACAGATTTACAATGCAATGCTGTTTATCAAAGCTTAACATAGAAGCACGAAAATTAATTTTCATTAAAATACATAAAATTTTTAAATGAGTTACAAAGATCTTGCATAACTAAACAAATCACTTTTCTGACTAATTTTTCAACCTCTGTAAGTTTGTCAATTTTCAGAACCATGATTAGTAGATAATAAGAAAGGCATTCTCATAAATTACTTTATTTATGAATAGCGTATTGGTCTATGTACCCTTGTTCATTTTGGGTTGTCACTATAGAAATTAATGATTACTTTCAGGAAATTGTTGAAACAGCATGTCTATCCAAATTTGCTTACATTTATGCCTACTTGGTGGATAACAGTTTTATGACATTGGTTGCTATCTTTGAACATTTTATGCAATCTTTGTCACATTTCTTTACAATATAGTAAATATAGTATCTCTTTCTAATATCCTGCTAAATAATGAAACTGACTTATCTGGTCTTTAAAAGTAGGAGCAATATTTTATCAAATATAATTTGAAATAAATTCTAAAACTGAGTATTTTAAATTAATTTAGATAAAAAGTAAAACTTCTTGGATAAATATAACGGCTTTAAAATGTTGGGACAATACAGATAATTTGTAGGACAGAATAATGTTTGGCCACATATCTGGGCACCATGGCCTAGCCAGATCATGACATAAAATTAACCAGCACATATGTGATGTGAAAATGATTTTAGAAATTAGATATTTTCCAGAATTACATTGTCAGCATCCCATATGATCTTTAGCTATTACTTTGGATAGAGTTCATGAAGGTGTTTTACAAGGGAAATTGGAAAGGATTCTGAAGTTGAATCAAAATTTTCTTTATTTGCTGTCTATGGCCTTCTGCTGGAGATGGCCTAACAGAATGTCTTACTGGAACCTCAAATTTCACTAGTTTTGGGTCCCTCAAACTGTCCAATAAGTCTTCCTCTTAATCTACTGGGTATTCTTTCTCTTCAGTCACACTTTCGAAGTAATTCCTCAAGACATTCTTCCCACCAGCACAAGTTTAATCTTGCCTCTTATTCACCGAGAAAAATGTGTGCCAAGAGTTGAAATCTCATCTTCCTACAGTGATTTAAGACTGAATCTAACATACACCCACCTTTTGCTTCCTCTCTCTCTGTTTTGTAACAATGAGAGACATTGTCTCCTCCTGTTGAAAACCAAGGCTCACATGTCCTCCTGAACTGTATAGACTCATGCTTTCATAAAGACCTTATTTATAGTACTTACTTTTTCCCTTGACTCTTCCATTACTCCCTTTGTATTATTTCTTTTCATCTATATTTAAACATATATGCAATGTATATTCCATAATTATATAGATAGATAGATGGTTCTTGTATAATTACAACCATAACCTTCCTCCCTTCCTTGAGAAAACTTCCTGTAGCTATTGTCTTACCACTTTTTGCCCAATTTCATCTTAAAACTACTGGGAATAAAATCTAGTTTCTCCACTTCTTTCATTGTTTTTTTGTTTTGTTTTGTTTTGTTTTGTTTTGTTTTGTTTCTTTTCTGCTGTGTAGATTTTTTTCACCTATATGGCCTGCAGATACCTAAATTCCAACTGCACTAAACTCAACAAATAAAATCACTTTTCTGAAAATTCATTCATTTTTTTTCTATTTTTTAGCTCAGAACTCAGAGAAAGACATAGCCATTTCCCATAGTTAATATTCTAGTGTCAGCCTGAAGTCTTTCTTCTGTTTAAACTTCAAATCTATTTGGACATCATATTTTATTGTTTGTCCTTGTGAAACCTGTCTTTTCAGTCCTCACCATCACTATCCTAATACCTCTTGCCTGGACTATTGAATAGCTTTCTACCGCACCATCTAATGGAAACTAATTAATGACTGGACAGTGAAAATCATTCCCTCTAATTCATTTTTCAAAGTATTTTTCTAAGAGAAACTTTTCTGATGTAGAAGAAAGTGAATGTAAAAAAAAAAAAAATGAACTGTTCTTAGACATTGAAACCAACCTTTCGCCTTCATGCTTATTCATGAAGGCAGCTATTAAAGAAAAACGTAGATTCTTATCTAGTGTCCCTTGAAATAACAGAAGACATCCTCCAGTCTTACGGGGCATGGTGCCTTTGTGCCCCCAATTAACTGCTCCTCAGTGTTAGAGATGGGCCAGTTTAAGAAAGCTCAAATCTTTGCTTCCAGACTGATCAAATGTTGTAATTTCTAGTTCCCTAACATTTTGTTGTTGTTGTTGTAGTTTTTTTCTTTTTTTTCTTTTTTGCTATAGGGTTTGTGCACTCGCCAGAAAAACAGAGCCAGAAAGGGAAAAATCACCCCCCCCAGGGGGGATGGTCACACCACAATCCTTTCTGTTCCATTCTCCTTTCGGGATCTTGGGCACGCACGCACACGTGCCCGGTATGAGTTTAAGCCACTACGTCAGGATTCGAACAATGGTTGACTACGTAGGAGTTCAACGACATAGCTATTACGCTAACTGCTTGTCCCACTAGTTCCCTAACTTTCTTTTTTTGGAGAGTTTTTTTTGCTACAGGGCACGTGCACTTGCCAGAAAGACGGAGAGAGACAGAAAGCAAGAAATCAACCCCCCGCCCAGGGGGATGGCCACGCCACAGTCCCTTCTCCTCCATTCTCCTCTCTGGATCTTGAGCACGCATGCACACGTGCCCAGCGTGAGTTTAAGCTGCCAGGTCCAGGACTCAAACAGCAGTCAAGTACATGGGAGTCTGACATAGCCATTATGCTAACTGCTGGTCCCAGTTCCCTAACTTTTAAAGTCATTCCTTTTTCAGTTTTCATCATCTTGTCCTGAACATTTAATAGTGAGCACCCTTAATGCCTCATTGATAATTTCTTAAAAACACTTAGTTTTTTTTCTTAGTTTTTGATTTTATAATATTTACTGAATGTGTCACAAACTTATCTGAAATTACTATTATTATTTTTAATATTTCTGTGGAGGTTGTGATTTATAAATGTACATAAATCTGGTTCACTCTGTCCTGGGGCCTACAGTGGAAGACTTCATTGGCAGAAGAGACTAAAGAGCTAGAAAATAGGTTGTTACAGAATGTTTCCATGAGCTATGAATGCGTTTGTAATTTATTTTGTGTTCATGGAAGGAAAGGAAGTGGGGATATTTACAGAGCTGCAAAATTTACAGGTTCTCAATTTTGTCTTTAAAGAATAATTATTTGCCCAAGCAAGAGACCAGGCCTTTGTGACATGGAACATTATTCTGCTCTTTCTTGGTTCCTCAGGTAAATAAGGTGGTCCAGGACTTCCTGCAGTCACAGGTACCAGGGGAAGAATCCAACCTGCTGTCAAACTAAACCCTCACATTGGAGAAAAGGCTATAGCAGGTACAGGAAAGACCTTGGTTTTCCTTGGTGGATAGGGTCCTGCATGCCTTCTGGGAATTCCAGTGGCAAGACCTTCCTGAACCAAGGAGCTTTCTCTCCTTCTGAGGAGCACACCTCTGCCACATGTGTAAATAATGACAGCAGCTGCAACTGTCCAGTCAAAAATGTGGAGAGCTTCACAAATTTGCATAGGCAGCTCTTACTTAGACACCATATTAATCTTCTCTGTATCATTCCACTTTTAGGCTATGTGCCACTGAAGAGAGTACTTGGGTTTGTGTGTGTGTGTGCATGTGTTTAATTGCCAGAGGGTGCGTGTATGAGAGAAAGAGGAGAGAGAAAAAAAAAGAGAGAGAGAGAAAGAGAGAAACCTCCAATGGACATGGTCATGCCGCAATCCCTTTTCCTCCATTTCTCTATCACGTTAGAACTTTGAACATGTTTGCACATGCGCCTGATACATTTGTCAAGTCACCATGGCCAGTATTCAAACTGCATTCAGCTGTGTGAGTTCCTGCTCTCAAAATATAGTACTTTACGGGACCAGCAGTTAGTGTAATGGCTATGTCACTGGATTCCCACGTAGTCGACCACAGTTCAAGTCCCGGACCTGGTGGCTTAAACTCATGCTGGGAGCGTGTGCGTGCGGGCCCAAGATCCCGAGAGGAGAATGGAGGAGAAGGGATTGCAGTGTGACCATCCCCCGCTGGGGGATGATTTCTCGCTTTCTGTCTCTCTGTCTCTGTCTGTCTGGTGAGCGCATGCACCCTATAGCAAAAACCTCTCCAAAAAAAGAAAAAAAAAAAAACATAGCACTTCACTGCTGCACTATGGGAATGACCAAGTATTTAGAGTTTTACTTTATCTTTTAATAAGTAATAGCAGATATCGTTACAGAGCAAAAATACTACGTGCTTTGAGGTACAGCTCTAAAGTAAGTTTTCCTATATATTTTGATCATTACCTATGGCTGAACTGATATTTTTTTCATCATCTTCCTTCTGATATTTCTGCCTCATCTTCTCATCCTAATCTTGGAAGTTTGTCTGTCACATAGGTCTATTCTCAGTACTAGAAAGTGTTTACAGATCAGTCTAATTTCGAAGCTTCTGTTTATATTGTTTCTTCTACCTTGAGCACATTTTCTGTCTTTACATTCTTATTCACCCATCACGTATGAATTTAAATAGATTTCTTTTGGTAGGTAGTGTTAAATGTTTTCCCTGTGTTCCCACAGATTTTCATTTCGTATTTGTTAGCAGTCCTACCTTATAGCAGGTGCCATTTGAATACCACCTTTGTCTCTTTTCCTCATCATACTACCCTCAGTGCCTAGCCTAATTCCTGACATGGAGGAGCTATTCACAAAACGTCTCTTGAATGCCTGTATATTATTTTACAATGTGGCACCTGAAAAGGAAGAGGTGAACGGAGAGTTAACTAGGAAGAAGATGAATTAGCTTATATGTCAATGCATGTATTTTCCTTTATCTTATGGATAATTCATTTTATTTGAGACTGCATGATAAATCTGGTGCACTAAGTTATTTCAATTCTTGCCAGTACTTTCTTTTCTCCTGCTGTCAAGGATCCAGTAAGGTCAGTTCACTTAAAATTTAATTCATGAGGTGCCTAATCTCCATATGTTCAGATACTCAGTGAAATATGATTTGTTTGTTTTCCATAGTATCCCAGTAGATTTATCATTCTAAAGGAAAAAAAAATCCCTGAAATAGTTTTTATCTTAGTAGTATTGGAAAAGGTTAAATAATGTATTTTAAATATGAAGATATTTAGTATACATTGATTGCATCTAAGTATCAATGCTCTCCTGCAAATACATATGTTTTTAAAGAAATAGCATGGATTTGGTTATATTCATTTTTACAAATGTATTATATTCATCCAGCCAGTGGCATGGTTGTTGGGGTGGATTATTCCCACATGACTAACTACAGAGTTTGAGTCCTAGAAGTTGCAGTTTGTGGAAAATGCTAGGCACATATGCTTGCCTATCTGAAATCCTGAAAGGAGAATAGAGAAGGGATTGTAATATGGTCATCTCCCTCTTGAAGGTGATTTCTCAATTTCTACCTTTCTGTCTATCTCTTTTGTGAGTGTATGGAACCTGTATTAAGTTAAAAAAAATTTTTTTTGAGAGGTTTTTGCTATAGGGTGCGTGTGCTCGCCAGGCAGACAGAGAGAGACACAGAGACAGAAAGCTAGAAATCACTCCCCCCCCCAGGGGGGGATGGCCACGCTGCAATCCCTCTCCACCATTCTCCTCTCGGGATCTTGGGCACGCACACACTCATGCCCAGCATGTGTTTAAGTCACCAGGTCCGGGACTCGAACTGCAGTCGACTATGTGGGAGTCCAGCAACATAGCCATTACACTAACTGTTGGTCCCAAGTGAAAACATTTATTACAAAATAAAAAGACAGTAAAGAGGTCTTGTCATTGTGAATACTAACATGCAAATCGAACTGCTAACTGTAGGAGCAGTAATCAGTACAAGTAGTCTCATAGAGTATCTCAAAAAGAACACGGTGAAGTTTTAGCAAGCTAGAAAATAGGAATGAAAATTATACTTCAAATATGAAACTAATTGAAAGTTCTTCTAGTTTAACAAATAATTATTGAGCATCCTTCTGGTATACTTCATTACTAATTGTTTTTATATAAGTAATACTGATTATTTACTTCCTAAATATAACATTTAAAACAATAAACATGAATATTTAAAACTAAACATATGCATTCAGGCTTTTGCCCTGGAATCATCCCATCACATTGTTATAACATACAATTTTAAACAATGCCATCCTGATGGTCAGCTAAACAGTTTTATAAACTCAGCTTAGAATATTTTCACTTGATATAAACGCAAGCTAACAGTTCTACACTTGAAACGTTGCTTCACCTGACAGACTGCATTCCATCTGGTTTTCAAAGTAGGAGTTGTGGAAAAATGCCAGTGCACACTGCTTCTGTCCAAGCAATTCATTGATTTCTTTCATCTTCAGCTACTTTGGTAACTTGCTGTGCTCCCATGATAATGGGTTGTCCTTCCATTTTCCCAGGTGATTTCAGTTGAAAGGAAAGCTGTTTCTCCCATATGGCAGTCGTAATAAATTAATTAAGGCAGTAAGTGTCATGCCATCTGCCCATTATGAGTGAAGGACATTAATCAGGGCATATCTCCCAGCTGGATGTCTCTTTAATGTGTAACCACCAGCAACACCAACAGTGCCGTGGATCAATGGAAGTTATCAATATAGTAAGAACATGATGTAAGTGTGCTAGCCACCCTGCATTAGGCTGATCTGTAGGGCTGCCTGTCCAACACTGGGTTCTGATTTTACTACCCTAAATAACTGTTCACACACACACAAACAAACTAAATTTGAGTATGCAGTACATAATAATTTTTTAAAAAATTCAATTAACTATAAAATAAATTTGAAACCTGCTAAGAATGCAAACACAGAAAACAAAAGTAAGTTCATATTGTGGGAAATAAAGTAAAATATCACACTGTACTTGTTTTCAGAAAGCACACTAAATATTCTAAACAACTCTTCGATGAGGACAGCAAGAAGTTTTAATATAAACATTTAGTGCTATAAATTTTCATCTGAGTACTGCTTTAGCTGCACCCCACCCCACTTTCTTAAAGTGTATGTTCATTTTCACTCAGTTTAATTTTTTTTTTTTTTGGAGAGATTTTCACTGTAGGGCGCGTGCGCTCGCCAGACAGACAGAGAGAGACATAGAGACAGAAAGCGAGAAATCACCCCCTAGGGGGGATGGTCACGCCGCAGTCCCTTCTCCTCCATTCTCCTCTCGGGATCTTGGGCACGCATGCACACGCGCCCCGCGTGAGTTTTAAGCCACCGGGTCCAGGACGTGAACCGCGGTCGACTACGTGGGAGTCCAGCAACATAGCCATTACGCTAACTGCTGGTTCCCCTGTTTGTTTTTTTTTTTTTTTTTTTAAGAAGTTTTTGCCTTATGGCACATGTGCTTGTAGGAGAGAAAGAGACAGGAGACAGAGACAGTGAGAGGGAAAGTGAGAAATCACCCCCTGAGGGATGGCCATCCTGCAATCCCATCTCTTTTATTCTCCTCCCGGGATCTCAGGCACATATGCACATGTGCCCAGTATGATTTTCGAGCCACCAGGTAAAGGACTCAAACCATGGTGGGTCACATGGGAGTCCAGCAATATAACAACTATCCCATCTACTGGTACCTTAATGTGTTTTTGATTTTTTAAAGCCTTTCTTCTCTGATCCTTATATTTTTTGGAAATGTATTTTTCAGTCTCCAAATGTCTGGAGATTTACCAGTTCTAATACTAATTTATAGTTTGATTTCATTATTGTCAGAAAACACCCTCCATGAATTCCTCTTTTATTGAGGATGTTTTGCTGACTCAGAATATGGCTTATCTCATTATACAATTATAGTCACTTGAAAAGAATGTCTATTCAGGGACCAGCAGTTAGTGTAATGGCTATGTCACTGGATTCCCATGTAGTCGACCACAGTTCGAGTCCTGGACCTGGTGGCTTAAACTCACACTGGGTGCGTGTGTGTGTGTGCCCTGGATCCCAAGAGGAGAATGGAGAAGGGAGTGTGGTGTGGCCATCCACCCTGGGAGGTGATTTCTCGCTTTCTGGCTCTCTGTCTCTCTCTGTCTTTCTGGCAAGCACAAGTGCCCTATAGCGCAAACCTCTCCCCCCCCAAAAAAAAGTCTATTCTTTTTTTTTTTTTTTTAGGGGAGGAATGAAATGTTTGATGAATATTCATTAGATTATCTTTATTGGTTATACTGCTAAATACTATAGCCTTCCTAAGTTTTTATTCCATTCTATTAATTGTTGGGAAATGGATATTGTTTATTTTCCTTTTAATTGTTTCAGATTTTGCTTCACATATTTTGTTTTTTCTATTATATCTTCTATGTCTTTGGTGAGACTTGGCATGTTTTCATTTATTTAAACCGTGTATATAATAACTCTCTGATTCATTTTTAAATCACTGCTTTAAAGGCTTTGTCAGATGTTTCTAACATTTCTGTCATCTAGTTATTGTTCTTTCTCATTTGAGTTGAGATATTCCTGATTCTTACTATGATTAATGATTTTTTTAATGAAGCCTAGCTATCTTGAGTACTTTGTATCTTAGTTAAATAATTCTATTTTAGTTGGTCTCCTCTGACACCACGCCGGCATAGGGTGAGTGGACTCATCCTCTCTCTGC